TCAAACCTACCCGTTTGGCCTTGCACACACAAGCAAGCACACACAGATGAGGTTGTTCAAACCTACCCGTTTGGCCTTGCACACACAAGCAAGCACACACAGATGAGGTTGTTCAAACCTACCCGTTTGGCCTTGCACACACAAGCAAGCACACACAGATGAGGTTGTTCAAACCTACCCGCTTGGCCTTGCACACACAAGCAAGCACACACAGATGAGGTTGTTCAAACCTCCCGTTTGGCCTTGCACACACAAGCAAGCACACACAGATGAGGTTGTTCAGACCTACCCTTTTGGCCTTGCACACACAAGCAAGCACACACAGATGAGGTTGTTCAAACCTACCCGTTTGGCCTTGCACACACAAGCAAGCACACACAGATGAGGTTGTTCAAACCTACCCGTTTGGCCTTGCACACACAAGCAAGCACACACAGATGAGGTTGTTTAAACCTACCCGTTTGGCCTTGCACACACAAGCAAGCACACACAGATGAGGTTGTTCAAACCTACCCGTTTGGCCTTGCACACACAAGCAAGTACACACAGATGAGGTTGTTCAAACCTACCCGTTTGGCCTTGCACACACAAGCAAGCACACACAGATGAGGTTGTTCAAACCTACCCGTTTGGCCTTGCACACACAAGCAAGCACACACAGATGAGGTTGTTCAAACCTACCCGTTTGGCCTTGCACACACAAGCAAGCACACACAGATGAGGTTGTTCAAACCTACCCGTTTGGCCTTGCACACACAAGCAAGCACACACAGATGAGGTTGTTCAAACCTACCCGTTTGGCCTTGCACACACAAGCAAGCACACACAGATGAGGTTGTTCAAACCTACCCGTTTGGCCTTGCACACACAAGCAAGCACACACAGATGAGGTTGTTCAAACCTACCCGTTTGGCCTTGCACACACAAGCAAGCACACACAGATGAGGTTGTTCAAACCTACCCGTTTGGCCTTGCACACACAAGCAAGCACACACAGATGAGGTTGTTCAAACCTACCCGCTTGGCCTTGCACACACAAGCAAGCACACACAGATGAGGTTGTTCAAACCTACCCGTTTGGCCTTGCACACACAAGCAAGCACACACAGATGAGGTTGTTCAAACCTACCCGTTTGGCCTTGCACACACAAGCAAGCACACACAGATGAGGTTGTTCAAACCTACCCGTTTGGCCTTGCACACACAAGCAAGCACACACAGATGAGGTTGTTCAAACCTACCCGTTTGGCCTTGCACACACAAGCAAGCACACACAGATGAGGTTGTTCAAACCTACCCGTTTGGCCTTGCACACACAAGCAAGCACACACAGATGAGGTTGTTCAAACCTACCCGTTTGGCCTTGCACACACAAGCAAGCACACACAGATGAGGTTGTTCAAACCTACCCGTTTGGCCTTGCACACACAAGCAAGCACACACAGATGAGGTTGTTCAAACCTACCCGTTTGGCCTTGCACACACAAGCAAGCACACACAGATGAGGTTGTTCAAACCTACCCGTTTGGCCTTGCACACACAAGCAAGCACACACAGATGAGGTTGTTCAAACCTACCCGTTTGGCCTTGCACACACAAGCAAGCACACACAGATGAGGTTGTTCAAACCTACCCGCTTGGCCTTGCACACACAAGCAAGCACACACAGATGAGGTTGTTCAAACCTACCCGTTTGGCCTTGCACACACAAGCAAGCACACACAGATGAGGTTGTTCAAACCTACCCGTTTGGCCTTGCACACACAAGCAAGCACACACAGATGAGGTTGTTCAAACCTACCCGTTTGGCCTTGCACACACAAGCAAGCACACACAGATGAGGTTGTTCAAACCTACCCGTTTGGCCTTGCACACACAAGCAAGCACACACAGATGAGGTTGTTCAAACCTACCCGTTTGGCCTTGCACACACAAGCAAGCACACACAGATGAGGTTGTTCAAACCTACCCGTTTGGCCTTGCACACACAAGCAAGCACACACAGATGAGGTTGTTCAAACCTACCCGTTTGGCCTTGCACACACAAGCAAGCACACACAGATGAGGTTGTTCAAACCTACCCGTTTGGCCTTGCACACACAAGCAAGCACACACAGATGAGGTTGTTCAAACCTACCCGTTTGGCCTTGCACACACAAGCAAGCACACACAGATGAGGTTGTTCAAACCTACCCGTTTGGCCTTGCACACACAAGCAAGCACACACAGATGAGGTTGTTCAAACCTACCCGTTTGGCCTTGCACACACAAGCAAGCACACACAGATGAGGTTGTTCAAACCTACCCGTTTGGCCTTGCACACACAAGCAAGCACACACAGATGAGGTTGTTCAAACCTACCCGTTTGGCCTTGCACACACAACCAAGCACACACAGATGAGGTTGTTCAAACCTACCCGTTTGGCCTTGCACACACAAGCAAGCACACACAGATGAGGTTGTTCAAACCTACCCGTTTGGCCTTGCACACACAAGCAAGCACACACAGATGAGGTTGTTCAGACCTACCCGCTTGGCCTTGCACACACAAGCAAGCACACACAGATGAGGTTGTTCAAACCTACCCGTTTGGCCTTGCACACACAAGCAAGCACACACAGATGAGGTTGTTCAAACCTACCCGTTTGGCCTTGCACACACAAGCAAGCACACACAGATGAGGTTGTTCAAACCTACCCGTTTGGCCTTGCACACACAAGCAAGCACACACAGATGAGGTTGTTCAAACCTACCCGTTTGGCCTTGCACACACAAGCAAGCACACACAGATGAGGTTGTTCAAACCTACCCGTTTGGCCTTGCACACACAAGCAAGCACACACAGATGAGGTTGTTCAAACCTACCCGTTTGGCCTTGCACACACAAGCAAGCACACACAGATGAGGTTGTTCAAACCTACCCGCTTGGCCTTGCACACACAAGCAAGCACACACAGATGAGGTTGTTCAAACCTACCCGTTTGGCCTTGCACACACAAGCAAGCACACACAGATGAGGTTGTTCAAACCTACCCGTTTGGCCTTGCACACACAAGCAAGCACACACAGATGAGGTTGTTCAAACCTACCCGTTTGGCCTTGCACACACAAGCAAGCACACACAGATGAGGTTGTTCAAACCTACCCGTTTGGCCTTGCACACACAAGCAAGCACACACAGATGAGGTTGTTCAAACCTACCCGTTTGGCCTTGCACACACAAGCAAGCACACACAGATGAGGTTGTTCAAACCTACCCGTTTGGCCTTGCACACACAAGCAAGCACACACAGATGAGGTTGTTCAAACCTACCCGTTTGGCCTTGCACACACAAGCAAGCACACACAGATGAGGTTGTTCAAACCTACCCGTTTGGCCTTGCACACACAAGCAAGCACACACAGATGAGGTTGTTCAAACCTACCCGTTTGGCCTTGCACACACAAGCAAGCACACATAGATGAGGTTGTTCAAACCTACCCGTTTGGCCTTGCACACACAAGCAAGCACACACAGATGAGGTTGTTCAAACCTACCCGTTTGGCCTTGCACACACAAGCAAGCACACACAGATGAGGTTGTTCAAACCTACCCGTTTGGCCTTGCACACACAAGCAAGCACACACAGATGAGGTTGTTCAAACCTACCCGTTTGGCCTTGCACACACAAGCAAGCACACACAGATGAGGTTGTTCAAACCTACCCGTTTGGCCTTGCACACACAAGCAAGCACACACAGATGAGGTTGTTCAAACCTACCCGTTTGGCCTTGCACACACAAGCAAGCACACACAGATGAGGTTGTTCAAACCTACCCGTTTGGCCTTGCACACACAAGCAAGCACACACAGATGAGGTTGTTCAAACCTACCCGTTTGGCCTTGCACACACAAGCAAGCACACACAGATGAGGTTGTTCAAACCTACCCGTTTGGCCTTGCACACACAAGCAAGCACACACAGATGAGGTTGTTCAAACCTACCCGTTTGGCCTTGCACACACAAGCAAGCACACACAGATGAGGTTGTTCAAACCTACCCGTTTGGCCTTGCACACACAAGCAAGCACACACAGATGAGGTTGTTCAAACCTACCCGTTTGGCCTTGCACACACAAGCAAGCACACACAGATGAGGTTGTTCAAACCTACCCGTTTGGCCTTGCACACACAAGCAAGCACACACAGATGAGGTTGTTCAAACCTACCCGTTTGGCCTTGCACACACAAGCAAGCACACACAGATGAGGTTGTTCAAACCTACCCGTTTGGCCTTGCACACACAAGCAAGCACACACAGATGAGGTTGTTCAAACCTACCCGCTTGGCCTTGCACACACAAGCAAGCACACACAGATGAGGTTGTTCAAACCTACCCGTTTGGCCTTGCACACACAAGCAAGCACACACAGATGAGGTTGTTCAAACCTACCCGTTTGGCCTTGCACACACAAGCAAGCACACACAGATGAGGTTGTTCAAACCTACCCGTTTGGCCTTGCACACACAAGCAAGCACACACAGATGAGGTTGTTCAAACCTACCCGTTTGGCCTTGCACACACAAGCAAGCACACACAGATGAGGTTGTTCAAACCTACCCGTTTGGCCTTGCACACACAAGCAAGCACACACAGATGAGGTTGTTCAAACCTACCCGTTTGGCCTTGCACACACAAGCAAGCACACACAGATGAGGTTGTTCAAACCTACCCGTTTGGCCTTGCACACACAAGCAAGCACACACAGATGAGGTTGTTCAAACCTACCCGTTTGGCCTTGCACACACAACCAAGCACACACAGATGAGGTTGTTCAAACCTACCCGTTTGGCCTTGCACACACAAGCAAGCACACACAGATGAGGTTGTTCAAACCTACCCGCTTGGCCTTGTCCCTGAGGGACGTCTGAGGCGAGTCCACATTCTCATGCAGCGCTTGGGGTTTGTCCGTCAGATGAAGTAAGGTAGGATAAGAGGAGTGAATGTGGGTCACGCAGATTAATCTTGTACCCGCTTGGCCTTGTCTCTGAGGGACGTCTGAGGCGAGTCCACGTTCTCATGCAGCACGTGGGGATTGTCGGCGAAAAAGTCATAAATGGCGTCACACTGAGGGTCGCCCTCCTGCCTCACCACCACCTCCACCACACACATTGCCTTCAGCCGCGTCTGCGGGGCGAAGTCAAGGAAAGAGAAGGGAAGGGACGGGCAGGAGGACAGTAGTGAGAGGGGTGCGTCGTCCTCCTGCCTCACCACCGCCTCCACCACGCACATGGCCTTCAGCCGCGTCTGTAAGGAGAGAGCGGGGGGAATGCACGGGCGGGGGCGGGGGTAGAGTGATGAGGAACTTTAAGAGGGTCGCCCTCCTGCCGCACCACCGCCTCCACCACACACATTGCCTTCAGCCACGTCTGGTGGTGATGAATGGGGAGGGCGTGGGGTGAGGGGAGAGGGAAGGGAAGGGAAGTGCAGGAGCACAGTAGTGAGTAGGGTGGGTCTCCCTCCTGCCGCACCACCGCCTCCACCACACACACTGCCTTCAGACGCATCAGGTGGGGGGGGGGAACTTTTGAGGTGACTTTTGAGGTGACTTTTGAGTTGACTTTTGAGTCGACTCAAAAGTCACACACATTGCCTTCAGACGCATCAGGTGGGGGGGGGACTTTTGAGGTGACTTTTGAGGTGAATTTTGAGGTGACTTTCGAGTTGACTTTTGAGTCGACTCAAAAGTCACACACATTGCCTTCAGACGCATCTGGTGGGGGGGGAAAGGGGTCGAGGGCGGGGGAGTGCGGGGAGTAATGAGGCTATTAGCAAACTCGCCCTCATGCTTGCAACGCCTACACCACACACATGGGTGGGAGGGGAGGGGAGGGGAGGCAGGGGGGTTTGTTGAAGAGTGGGGGCGGGCAGGAAGAGAGTGATATACAAATGCTCGGGGTCGCCCAGTTGCCACTCACGTTTCGCCTTATCTCTTCACTTCCCTAGGTTCTTACCCTCCTTCCACAACGAATCTCTTCCCCACTTCCTGCCACAAGTTGCTTCACACCCAACCCGCCAGCAGCTCTCGCGCTGCGCGACGCTGTCGTCTCACCTGCCACAAGTTGCTGAGGAGGCGAGCTTCCAGCGCCTGAGCCACGGCACGGCGCCCGCAATCAGCCGCCACCCACGTTCACCTCATTGTGAGGCCATGAAAGCACCACCACCACACCAGCAGAAGCGCCATCACCAGCAGCTCTCACCTGCCACAAGTTGCTGAGGAGGCGGGTCTCCAGCGCCTGGGCCACGGCGCCCGCATTCAGCTTCGGCAGGCTGGCAATGAAGCTCCTCAGCGCCTCGCGTGTGGGCTGCAGCCTCACCCCGCCTGCCCCCGTCATGCCCTCCACCACTCGCTCCTCCTCACCCCCGCCCCCTCCGCCTGTTCCGCCCCCCCCTCCGCCCATCCCGTCCGCGGACCCAGACGCGCCTCCCCATGCACTTGCCTCGGTGCGTCCCTCCCCTTGCTGCCCCCCATCGCCCCACCCTCCTGCCCTGTCCTCTTCCGCACCTCCCCCTCCATATCCCCCCCCGCCCCCACCGCCATATGCTCCCCCTCCCCCACCATACGGCCCTCCTCCTCCTCCTCCTCCTCCCCCTCCCCCACCACCGCCATAGCCCCCCCCTGCTCTGTACCCTCGGTCCGACCCATACTCTCTGTCTCTCCCCCCGCCAGAGTAACCCGCAGGTGCCGCAGCAGGCGAGTACGAGTTAGTAGACGAGTCGAACGTGCGCCCCTGCCGGTCAAAACCCACATACTTAGACGCACCAGACGAGGAGGAGGAGGAAGGACCAGGGTACCGCTGCTGGTGGTAGGAAGACCCGTCTCCGTGACCATACCCGCTGCCTCCATACCCGTACGCATCCCCACCGCCCCCTACCGAGTCCAACCGCGGGCCCACGTAGCTTCCCCCACCAGCTGCCTCTTCAAACTCCCCCCCGCCTGCTTTCCCCCGCGCGGAGCCTCCTGCGCCTTGCCCCACCACACCCGCCAGCTTGCTGATCCCCTGCCGGATCGACTCGCTACTCACCCCCAACACAGCGCCGATCCCCCCTGCTCCGCCTCCTCCTCCGCCACCCCTCCCCCCTCCGCCGCTCCCTCCACCATCTCCCCTCGCCGGGGTGCTTCCAAATCCCTCCATCCGACGCCGCCCGCCTTCCATCCCGCCACTAGGCCCCCCATACCCGTTATAGCCACCTCCGGTAGACGCACCACAACCACCTGCACCGGCGCCGCCGCCACTGACGCCCATGGCGCCTGCGCCTGGCTTGACGTCGTTCTGAGGGTTGAAGATCGCCTGTACCGCCTCCTGCGCTGCCTCCCGGACCGCCTTGTTGGGCGCGTCGCCTCTTAACGGATCCGGCTGTCCGCGATAGTGGACCATGCCCTTGATGGTGGCGGAGTGGCGCTGTATGCTGCGGCGGAACTCCGTGCCTGCCCGCGAGACCGTGTACTTTATCAGCCGCAGGGACTGGGAAGGTGAGGTGATGGGAAGAGGGAGAGAAGGAGGAAGAGGGAGGGGAAGAGAAGAGCTGGACGGCGGGTGACGGCTAACACGAGGCAACAGGGGAAATGCTAACGTACAGCAGTCACCACGACAAAAGGAGGAGGAAACTCGGTTACAAACGACAGAGAAGAGAAAACAGTCAACCCAGTTGACTGCCGCCCCGAAAATATATCTAGATGCCCGAAACGCAGGCAACCATGTCTGGAACACAAAACCGGCAAAGCTCGCCAGAGTAGAAGTGATCGAAACTGGCACGCGCACGCTGAGTACGCAGAACGGCATAGTAAATCTCTGGTCACAGCGTTACCGCAATCGAGGCCAAGTCTAGATCGAAATCAGTCGGCAGTAATGAGTCAATCCCTCAACTTTCCTGTGACAAGATTGACTCAATTCCTCACCTTTCCCCACCTTTTGCTCGATGAAGGGCGAGAGTGGTTGAGCCGCTGCATGAACTTGTCATTCACTTCGTTCACCACTGCGATATACTGCAGAATTACTCAATGGTCGGCTGTAGGGTTACTCTAGGGTTACCAACCGTTGATGTTTACCCCACCTTTAGCTTGACGAAGGGCGAGGCGTGGTTGAGGCGCTGCATGATGTAGTCAACCACCTCCTTCACCACCTCCGATGGACTTGATTGCACGTCCGTACATATCTCGTCCAGGCGATACACGGGAGCGATCTTATCGTCATCTGACGTCACCTCGTCGATCTTACGAGCTCTCCAAAACGACTGCATGATTGAAGATTGGATATCGGAAAATCTGACGAAGATTTGCTCCTGGGATGCAGTTCCTTGGCAAGGAAAGCAGGGTGAAATGACCTGGCAGGATGCTAGCAGAAGCAAGCGCAAGTGCTCAAACGAGTACCGAGATTGGAAATATATTTAGGTCCACAACCGTGACGCCAGTTTGACTGAATTGAAATAACAATTCCAGGCCACCACCATGGCTGGATGTAGGAATCTCCAGGAACATGGTGATGGTGAGTGAGTGAGCAGGAAAATTGGATTGGAGTGGAAATGGAACAGCTCCTGGTGGAGCCTGAGGGAGGGTGGAATGACATCCGTTAGAAGGAGCCGCGGCATTGTCACGCCCGGTGTAAGAATACCCACCTGAAATTTTAGCTGTTGTTGGCGCCTTCGGAAAATGGATGACCCGCGGCAGGGGCTGTGCCCAAATAAAACGATTCAGCACTGTATAGATCATATAGGTACGATTTCACAGAACTTAGATAATATATTACAGAAGTCTTAGGAGAATGCCCGTTTCCAGTGATTGAATATATGCAAGATAAGCTACATCAATTTAAATAATAATAGAAAAAGTAGTTCTCTATAAGAAGAGCCAGAAATTCTTGATGCATGACATTCATATCTTAGTTCACCATGCATTATTATTTTTGTGGGAAGGGAGAAAAGATCAGGGCTGTGTATAAACCCGTAAGTCATAATCGAATAGGCGAGGACAGTGAACGTGCTGGGCGAACAGCAGGGCCAGCAGCAGGGTGAGGCAGTAGGGTAGCCAGCAGGGTGAGCGAGCTTCGTCCGAGCCGAGTCGTCGACACCAGCCACGTGCCGACGGCCTGCTGGTTGTTGGAGGGAGCCTTGGGAGTCCCGCACCAGCAACTGTGATTACTTGTTACAGCTGAACCGGCAGGTTCTAGGATAGGAGATAAGAGTAGTTTAGCACAAGTGGTTCAACACGGCGTACCTGCTTGTCCGACGGCTCTCCCGGCGTTCCTCTCTAGGAAGCATCGGACGTGACACGCCCCGAACGTGACTTCTCGTCTTTAGGTTTCACTGTAACTAGTAAATCTGTCAGGAGGACTGATTCTGCTACATAGGTGCTGGGAGGTGCTATATCACAGATTACGCAATGGGACGACGCGTGGCTTTATACTTGCTCATGCTGCGCCACTTCGTTTTTTAGTGTCATTCCGTTCGCCTTGCTGTGTAGTTTTAGGTGCCAATCAAAGGCGACTCCGAACCACCGTTCCTGGCAGTGTTGCATTGCAATGCTGGACGCTGCACGAGTTAACTGTCGCTAATAGTAGTAATTTTAGATATTGCTATCGTTCGCCCTTTTTTTTTTACATGGGTTGCCTCAACTCAAAATCAAGCGGGGATAGCATCCCAATATCACGACGTAAGTATTTTGGATTAACCTTGAACTTGCGAGCTACTTTCTTTTAATCGTACCCCTTGTTGTTCCAAACCCCATGACGTCATTTTCAAATGCTTGAGTTAAGGAATTCTTTGTGTTATTCACAAGCGCTATTCCCCCGTTTCGTTTCCACTCGCACTGCCGTTTCGTTACAGACTCCAAGCCAGTACCCTCTCTTTCAAATGCGAAATCATCGGTAGACCACGGTAACGAGTCGTCTATAAAATTCCTCACTTACGAAGACATTAAGCGAGCCACGGACAATTTTGCCAACGTCCTCGGTGAAGGGGGGTTCGGTAAGGTCTATAAGGGCCGGTTGCGCGGCGTTAACGGGGAAGCTGACGAGGAAACGACTTTCGTTGCGATCAAAGTTCTGGCTCCTCACAGTTTCCAAGGAATGGACGAGTTTCTGGTGAGTGGCTCTTATCAGCTTCAAATGGTCGAGATGGATGAGCGGCTGGAAGGGTGAGCGCTGGAAAGCAGGGGACGGGCATGTAACCTGGGACTTGCAGGCTCCATGGGTATTGTGTTCAGCTAGTAAAGTGGGGCTTTGCAGGGTACAAGGATAAAGTGCTCAGCTAATGATATGGCGCTTGCAGGCTACACCCATAGTGTGTTGAGCTAAAATATTAGGGCTTGCACCTTGCACGGATAATGAGTTCAGCTAAAAATATAGGGCTTGCGCGTTACATGGATAACGCGTTTAGCTTAACATGTGAGGCTTGTGCGGTACATGTGTTCAGAGGTTACATGGTAATGTGCTTAGCTGATTCATCTCTCACTTTCGTGTGTCCACCCGATACAGAACGAGATCACTACAGTGGAGGGCGTGCAGCACCCCAACATTGTGCGGCTGCTGGCGTGCTGCACAGAGAAGGTCAAGGCGCTGGTGTACGAGTTCATCCCCATGGGCGATGTCGACGCATGGCTTGCAAAATGTGCGTACTCGTGGTAGAAGTGTTTTTGGGAAGAAAGGAAGTCAAAGTGTGGAGCATGAGCTGCTTGCACTCGATTTGATTACGTGCCAGATGGAGTGTTAGATTGTTTCTATGTGCGTGTGCATGGTAAAAGCGTTTCTGGGTGGGAAGAAAGCCAAATTCTGGAGCATGAGCTGCTTGCACACAACGCGGGTACGGGTTAGATGGAGTTTGGACAGTTTGTATGGATCGTGGTCTACCACTGCAGAAGCTACAGGAGTATCTTGGTGAAACACTGACATGCAACTGCCAATTTTTTTCCTTGCCTCTACCTTTCATGGTTCCCTCCATGCACAGGTTCGGATGGCAAGGCAAAATTTTCCTGGGCTGACCGGATGAAAGTGATTATGGGAACAGCAGAGGCAATGACGTTCATTCACAAGCAACGGTTCATTCACCGGGACTTTAAGTCCAGCAATGTGCTTCTAACGGAAGTAAGCATTCTTGCCCTCGTTTGTCTGCATCACCCTCCCTCAACACAACAGAGCATAATCAGTCATGTTGGCTACAACGGCATGTAGTTAGTTGCTAGCTCGTCAGTGTGTTGTTGCTTTTGCATTCTGCTCTGTCCTCCCTTTGTCCGTGCCACTGCCATATCAATCCTCCCCCAGCCTTGCTCCCTCCTCTACGTTTTCCCTTGTTCCCCTCTTATCACAGGACTTCACACCGAAGGTGGCTGATTTTGGTCTGGCCAAGGGCATAGAGGACTGGAAAACGCATGTCACAACACGAGTCATGGGCTCCATGGGGTACATTGATCCCACGTACTTTGAGTCAGGTGAGCTGGAATCGCTGACGTGTAGCTGAAATGGCCTCACGGGGTTTTTTTATCCCCTGTGTTTATGCATGTGGCTCCACTCTATGCACCTTGGCTAAACTGCCAAGTTATATGCATGTGGCTCCCCTTGTTATGCATCTCATGCCCCTTTGCATGGATGTGCATTATGCCTGTCTGCCGTTGTTCCATATCAGGTCACTTGTGTGACAAGAGTGACGTGTTTGCTTTCGGTCTGTTCATGGTTGAGATTCTTGCGGGCAAGTCAGTGCTTCGGCAAGGTTTTGCGGAAGATATTAAGGCGTGGTTATACGAGGCTGATGCTCCCAGCGCTGCGGATATGATGGACCTCGCAATTATCAATGAGGCAAACAAGACGGAAGCGAGTGCCATCGCGATAATTGCCAAGCAGTCGACAGCCAGGGACTGGGCAGATCGTCCAACCATGGAGGAGGTTTTGGAAGTACTGAAAGTGGCAATCAAACTATCGGTACCTAATGATGAGCTTAAAATTGAGCACGACTCTCAAGAAAATGGATCATCTTGATTGCTCAAGGCTGATATGGAAATGGTTTCCACACATCTAGTTGTGGTTTCGTTTTTCAGTAATATAGTATTTGGTTCGTTTGTTACAGCGTACAGAACCTCATTGTGCACTGTGGTCAAGGTTTGTTGTTCCAGTCAACCTCGATATCATCCCAAACCAACCAAGCCTCCTTTGCCTCGTCAACCATGTGAGCTGCAAGAGCATATTCTCCTCCTCGCTCGATACCCTACCGGACCGTTCTGAATACAGATAGTTGTGTCGAGGGATGAGCCTCGATAGTATCTGCCAAGTTCCATGTTCGTTCTAGCAGGCGTGCCCCATCAATCATGGACTGCCTTTGCAACGCTGTACCGTCGCCCGACCTCAGTAACTCCTCCACATATCTCCACGTTTCGTCCTAATTTATCGCTTAATTCTTGGTTATTACGGCGTGTGTTCGACGCGTGCAGCAATATCACGTCCTTAGCTGTTACCCACACCACTAATTTATTCTACGGTTAGCATGCTTCACATGAGCAGACACATTGCTTCTAGTCCTATGTAATACTACTAGTAGTAGGTTTGTGGTGTTAGGGAAAATGCAGAAGTCTCACGTTCTATGAACGCTACACGCAGTCGACCCCTCGTTTCGCAGCGAGTGGGAAGTTTCTCCATCTTTTCTTCGCGAGAGCTGGCTTATACTCCCGTCTCTGACGTAGAAATAATTTCTCCACTTCGAAGCGCCGCACACCAAGAGATATAGAGCTGCACACATCAGGAACCATTAAAGCCGCTAACATCTGAACAGCTAGCTTTGTCGTTTGATTGACGCGAGCGGCGCGCGCGCCTGCAGACTGCATTCCGCGTAGTGTAAAAGAGGCGGCGTCTCAGAGCGAAGGGCCTTCAGGCAGCATTCCACGGAGTTTCGAGGAAGCTTTTCATAGCGAAGGCCCTCCCCATGGGGGGTTGCTTGTCGCAGCCCAGCAGCGATGCGAGTACGTACAAACAAGAGCTCGGATCACCTGTGTCCTGCTGAGTTCATTTCAGTCAATAGGTTCAATTCTCATGAACCGGAATTCTGGCTCGCACATTCCGCGTCAAATTTTGCGTTTGTGCTGCTTGTCGTCGCCCACCCCTTCCGCTCCCCTCCACCCCCTCGCTGCCCCTTCTTCCCTTCCTCCCCCCCGCCTTCGTTGCCTGCCGTCTCCATTCGTCCTGCCTTCAACTTCTCTTCGAATCCATCCCCTCCTGCCCCCTCCTGCCCGTTCACACGTTCTACACAACGCGATTTCCTCAAACGTCGTTCCTGCAACAGTTCTCCGTGCCTTTTCCATTTGCGATGGCGTTTTGATGCTTCTTTGCCCACCCGCATGTTTCACGCCGTCCAGCTTGCTTCTCTACTGTCCCTCCCTTCCGTCCTCCCCTTCCGATGCTCCCCTCCGCCCGCTCCATAACACCTCGCCCTTCAACCCCGTTTTTTTCCCTCCCTTCACTCCCCTTGCCCCCCCCCCCCCCTCGCCCTTCACTCCCCCCTCCATTTTCATCCCCAGAGACGTCAAACTACCCGGTGAAGAAGGCGGTGGGGGCGGGGTTCCCGGAGTACACATACGATGAGATGATGCTCATCACTGACCGCCTCAAGAAGCCCATCGGCCAGGGCGGCTTCGGGGTCGTGTACAAGGGCTACCTGCAGGACCCTGCAGCAGTAGCAGCAGCAGCGGCGGCGGCGGCAGCGGCGGGTGGTGGTGGTGAAGGGGGCGGAGCGGGTGGTGGGGGGCAAGGAGGGGCGGAAGCGGCGGAGCAGGTTCTGGTGGCGGTGGCGGTGAAGGTTCTGGATAACGAGGACGTGGAACTCAAAGATGACGAGCAGTTCCATGTGAGCGCTGCGTAGGAATGATAGAGTTTCACACGAAAGCGACCTTTGTTTTTTTTTTTTTGCCCAGAGTTATTAGAAACGTGTGTTGAGTCGACACGAAATCCATACAGACCTCGAGCAGTTTCATTAACATGTGGGATGAGAGGAACAACAGGCATCACTGACAGACTTTTGGGTGCGGTAGACTTGAAAAGTGTGTGAAGAGGGCAAAGGTGGACTTCGGGGGGTCGGGGAAGAGGGGAGGCTTGAGGGGAGGAGGGAGGACGAGGGCATGATCACAGTAATGACATGGAACCTTCGATTCGACCCCCCTCCCCCCGCCCTTCCCAGCTTCCCTTCCCCACCCCCACCCCCACTCCCCCCCCACACATTTCCTTCCTGCACGTTCTCCCTCTGCTTCCTTCCCAGGCGGAAATGACGATGGTGCAGCTGTGGCACAGCCACCTCCTGCCACTCTCTACCCCCCTCCATCCCCCGCTCAATGTCCCTCTCACAGCCTCTCCTTCCAACCTCCTCGCCTCATACCCCCTAAGACCGTTTGCCCCCTTCTTGGCCCATACCCCCTAAGACCGTTTGCCCCCCTCTTGGCCCATCCCCCCTAAGACCGTTTGCCCCCCTCTTGGCCCATCCCCCCTAAGACCGTTTGCCCCCCTCTTGGCCCATCCCCCCTAAGACCGTTTGCCCCCCTCTTGGCCCATCCCCCCTAAGGCCGTTTGCCCCCCTCTTGGCCCATCCCCCCTAAGACCGTTTGCCCCCCATCTTGTTGCTCAACAGGCGGAGCTAATGGTGGTGGAGCAACTGTCGTCACCAACGTCCTGTTGCTCTATGCGTATTTTCCCTCTTTGTCTCACTCTTCCTTGTGTCCCTTTCACTTATCTCACTCTTCCATGTCTCACTCTTCCATATCTCACTCGCCCCTGTCTCACTCTCCCCTGTCCCACTCTCCCTTGTCTCACTCTCCTCTCCCCTGTCTCACCCGCCTGTCTCACCCTTCTCGCCCCTCTCTCCCTCTGCCCATCCATCAGGCGGGGCTGATGGCAATGGAGCAGCTGTCGCACCCCACCATCTTGTCGATGTACGGCTATTGCCCAACATCCTTCATCCTCTTCCCATGCTCCTCTCCCCCCCTCCTCTTCCCCACACCCTCTGCCCCGTTCCCCACCTCTCTGCCCATCCATCAGGCGGAGCTGATGGCAATGGAGCAGCTGTCGCACCCCACCATCTTGTCGCTGTACGGCTATTGCCCAACATCCTTCATCCTCTTCCCATGCTCCTCTCCCCCCCTCATCTTCCCCACACCCTCTGCCCCGTTCCCCACCTCTCTGCCCATCCATCAGGCGGAGCTGATGGCAATGGAGCAGCTGTCACACCCCACCATCCTGTCGTTCTGTGCCCATCCCTCCCCCCCCCCCCTCCCCACCATCTTCCTGTTTCACTACCTTCTCACTGTCTCTCCCTCGCCGTACCTACTTCTCCCCGGTCGTCCTTCTCAGGCGGAGTTGATGGCAATGGAGCAGCTATCGCACCCCACCATTCTGTCGCTGTACGGCTATGTGGCCAAGCCTACGCCTGCACTCATCTACGAGTTCATCACCAACGGCAACGCAGAGGCGTACCTCAGACGAGGTATGCGGCATGCCTGGCTTCTTGAATCTATGTCAAAAGGCGCTGAAGAGAATTCTTGTGAGGTCTTGCAGAATCCTGGATGCATTAATGTCTCTGATAATTACTCTCTTGCCTCTCCCTCTTTCGTGCAGTAAGTGTTTCTCCTGCACTTGCCATGCATTTATTGATTCATCCTTTGACTTTACATCCCTACATCCCGCTTTTCCCCCAATCCCCCCTTCCACACCTGCTCTCTCTCTTCTAATGGCAAGTGTGGAAGGGGGGATCGGGCGAAAAAAAATGGTGATTTTCTATAGGGCTCCCAGGAAAAAAATCTTCTCCTACAGAAGCCCTATAAAACCCTTCCCCCCAACGCCCTCCTTGTTCCCTCCCCACCCCTTTCTCTCCCCTCTGGCCATCAGCGGTGCAAGGCAAGGCAGAGTTTTCCTGGAAGGCGCGGCTGCGGGTGGCTCTGATGTGTGCGGAGGCGCTGCAGGTGATGCACAGCCACAACTATGTGCACCGCGACTTCAAGGCCTCCAACGTGCTGCTGCGCGAGGTGCGCTGCTGTGCTGTGTTGTGCTTGCCCGTGTGGGTGTGTGTGCACGCATGTGCTTGTGTGTTCATTATTCATACGAATGTTCATGTACACATTCGTGCTTGTTCAGGCATGCAATCGGGGATGCATCCATGTGCATGCACAACAACCTGCCACCCGACATTGAAGCTGCTCCATTCAAACCCATCTGCTCTTGATCCCTGTCTCTCCTTGTCCCCCAGGACCTGACGCCAGTGCTGGCTGACTTTGGCTTGGCACGCACGGTGAACAACTGGCAGAGCCACGTCACCACTCGGGTCATGGGCTCCACAGGCTACATTGACCCTGTCTACTTCGAGTCTGGTACGCCCACAGCTCTTCTTCTTTAAGTCCTGTTCCCTGACTCCAGTTGCAGACGATGCTGCTGTGATTGGGCTTCGTGGATAGTACTGGTGGAACGAGACCGGTCGATGATTCTTTGAATTATGATTTTTTGTTTTCTTATGAGTGGGTTGCGGTTGTCCTTTGATGTTTTCCCTTGTGCTCGTCGCAGGTCATCTGAACGCCAAGTGTGACACTTATGCATTTGGGATCTTCCTCCTCGAGCTTGTAACAGGCATGTTGGTCACTGACAAAAACTTTGAGGCCTTGCGAATGACCCTTGCCACTGGGGCTGACCTGCCCGAAGCGGACAAAGTGATAGATCAGACACTGGTTGGGCAGTGGACAAAAAAAGATGCACTTATGGCATTAACTCTGGTGAAGTATGCAGTTGCAGGGAAGTGGGAAACACGACCTTCAATGGACGTGCTAGCATCAAAGCTTAAAGTGGTGTATGAGAGATGACATGCCTAAGATTTGTTAGGAACCATAGATGGCTGTGGATGTGAATGTAGTGGTGGGCAAGTGTATTAGTGTTCTAATGATGCCATATGCGGGCCACACTCAAGAAGGCTATCCAATCCATGAAGCAATAGTTCACACTCATGGCACTGCCTCCCAAGTCACCTAGGCTCCCAAACCCCATGTTCCCTGAATAAGATTCTTGTTCACCTGAAATTAGGTGCGTAGTTTTGAGATAATAAACTTCACTGAATCAGGTTGAATACGTATCCTCTAACGAGAATTGGCAACTCCCAGGCGCAGATCAGATCCTCGTCAACAGCGGCCCCAAAACACGAGGAAAAGAAACCAATCAGGAAAGACTCACTGACCTGTCTGTCGGCAACTCGTCCAGTCACTCACTGCGCTAGGTCCTCGTTTCAGGCATCTTCAAACGTCAGGGGTTGTAATGAAAGGCTGCATCCCAAGAAAAGCCTGTGTACAGTTCACTTTCGGAATTCCCGAGGTGTTTGGCATTGAATTTGGCTTTGTTGGGACAACCCCAAGGTGGTCGCTGCTGTGTCCGTGATCTGGTGTCTGGGGTCTTCTGGCCTGACAAACTCGAGCTCCCCTGCTCCTCGCATCTCCTACAAAACCCACCCCCTTCACTCCCCTCTTTTCCATGATCTCATCCCGAATCCCACCTTACATCCTTCAGTCGGCTGACTGACGCCTGTGCTGCTTCGGCTCTCAGGTGTCTTGCCGCGAGCATTACACGCTACAACGCTTGAACTTGTTTGCTTCAAGTGTGTGTTTGCCGATATACTAAAATCTTTAAGAATTTCGCACGGTTTCTGGAACCATGGCAGGCGCTCTTCGCGCTGCCAGTAGCTTTATCGGGCTCGGAGTCTCTCATCCCAAGCTCGCGGTGAAGGTTCCTTCTAACCTCCGCCGTTCGGCTGCATCAGGTAGAGACAATAACATTGACAGAGATGGAGTTTCCCGTAAGAGGCGCGGAGTCCAGGTTCGAGCTCGCGCGGACGGCGAGATTTCTCTGCTGCTGGATTTCAGCAAGGTCTTCTCGTCAACCCCAGCTCCCGGCGAGCCCGTTGTTTCAGTGGATAACGAGACCAGCGAGAACTACACTATTATCACCGTCAGCGCGCCTAACAGACCTGGATTGCTCCAGCTTTTAACACTCACGTTTCGCGATCTCGGCCTGGACGTTGGCAAGGCAGTCGTCGATCTTGACGATGACGGTAACGTGGCCGACGCGTTTTACGTCACGGCCGTTGACGGAAAAAAGATCACCCAGAAACGCGATCTGCAGAACATCCGCAAGTGCGTTGTGAGAGCGTTGGTTCTAGACGCCAAGAATGACGCGCCGAAAGATTCTTCAGTCCGGCCCGCGAGACTTATCAGGCCGGTTACATCGCTGGACCCGTCGGCGTCGCCCGAGTTGAAACGGCGTACGGAGCTGCTGCACAACCTGATGGATACGTACATCAAGAACGACGTGCTGTCGATTCAGAGGAGCATTGTGGACCACGTGGAGTACACCATGGCGCGCAGCAGATACAAATTCGACGACTTCGAGGCGTACCAGGTGAGCGAGACGACCCGCAGGATTTGAACGGTGAGAAATTTCATCCGCATTAGCCTTCCCCCCCTTCATTTCTTGTGCTTCTTGTGTAATCTGTCCCTGATGTGTATTTGAACGTTAAACCAAACGTACCGAGGGGTTGTTCAATTGCGTTTTTTTTTTTCCGAGCATGAGTATTAAAAGCACAATTTCAACATACTTCGACTGTGCTATCCCCGTCTGCGTTGTTACGTCCCAGGCAACAGCGTACAGCGTGAGGGACCGGCTGATTGAGAGCTGGAACGACACGCAGCAGTACTTCAAGGACCAGGACTCCAAGCGCGTCTACTACCTCTCCATGGAGTTCCTCATGGGTACGCACGGATTGTGGTTGAGATGCCATGCCAACGGTTGTTGTTCCCAAGGCATCAGGTCATGTCGACAAGGACTAGGACTCCATGGAGGTCCTCATGGGTGAGCACGGACTGAGGTCAGGGTTGGACTACAACAAGTGCGAGTTGTTGATCTTGAAAGTTCTCAATTGTGACTATTGTCCACGTGTTCACCTGTTTACGTGTTGTCGTGCAGGGCGGTCTCTGCTGAACAGCATCTTCAACCTGGGCATGAAGGACCAGTACGTGGAGGCGCTGGGGCAGCTGGGATTCAGCAAGCTCGAGCTGCTGCTCATTAGAGATTGCAATTATGTTTTCCGTCCATTTTTGTTCACGTGGCAGGGCGGTCGCTACTGAATAGCATCTTCAACCTGGGCATGAAGGACCAGTACGTGGAGGCGCTGGGGCAGCTGGGGTACAAGCTCGAGGTGCTGGCGGAGCAGGAGAGGGATGCTGCTCTCGGCAATGGTGGCCTTGGCCGGTCAGTCTTCCCCTGCTGCTGCTGTTGCTGCTGCTGCTGCTTTTGCTGCCGATGCTTCTGCCAAGCTTTTTGCAGCTTCTTTTAGCTGATACGCGGATCCTGTTGTCCTTTTGATTTTGTGGGGGAGCATAATGCTGTGCCAGAGCATGCTTCCTGCTGTGATTGCTTCTGTGCTCGCTGATTTCCTTTATTTATTTCGGTCATAACGCGTTCTTGATCTACTTCCTGTGTGCCTGTGTGTTTCAGCCTGGCAGCCTGCGTGCTTGACAGCATGGCGACACTCAACTACCCTGGATGGGGGTAAGCAACCAACCTTACCGGTTCCCTGAGCTGCTGAGATAGAGAAACACCTGTTGAGAAATTATTTACTAGGGGGTGCTCGATTTTATCTTTTAAGGCACTGGAAGGCCCACGTTGGAACAACTTGTACCACCCTGCTCTGTTTTCATAACTCTCCTTCATCCTCTCCCCGTTTCCTCACCACTCCCTCCCCCCCCCCATTTTCTAAATACAGCATCCGTTACCAGTACTGCGTATTCTGGCCGACGCTGCAGGTCGGCTCTTACCATGTGCTTCCCTCCCAACTCGTTTCCCAATTTCCTGTTTCTCCCGCCTCCCCTTCCCCCACCTCTCTTCCCCAGCTACGGCATCCGCTACCAGAACGGCATGTTCCGGCAGACGTTGCAGGACGGCTTTGGAACCACCTCAGACCACCCAGTTCTGTTCTTAAAACTCTCTTTCCCTCTTCTCCTCCTCTTCCCCTCCCAGCTACGGCATCCGCTACCAGTACGGCATGTTCCGGCAGACCCTACAGGACGGCTTCCAGCACGAGCAGCCGGACTACTGGCTGACGTTTGGCAACCCGTGGGAGATAGAGCGCGTGTTTGTGACGTACCCCGTGCGCTTCTACGGCACTGTTGAGTCATACACCGAGGCCGGCCACCCCCGCAAGCGATGGGTCGAGGGAGAAACGGTCAGCTCCGCTCCGCCCTCTCTTCCTCCCTCTCTCCCTCCTTCATCCTTCCCCCTCCACCCTCTCCTCCCCATCCCCTCGTCCCCCACTATTATCATTTTGCAGCTAAGCTATTGAAATTCTTCTGTTCTTGTCTTTCTGTTTTGTTGTTCTCTGCTTCAAAGTGATTCTCTCCACTCCGCTGCTTCCTTCCACAATCCCCTGCGCGCACTTCTTCTGCAACAGGTGGAGGCAGTGGCGTATGACAATCCGATCCCCGGTTACCACACCAACAACACCATCAACCTGCGCCTCTGGGGAGCAAAGCCCAGTGGCGAGTTTGACCTGGTCAGTACGAGAGGAAGCCAGCAAACGGTGACATCTTGTACCTGTGGCATCCGCGTGCCATCTTTCTCTCCCAGCACACTCTCTTGCGTTCCCTCCTCCCTCCCTCTCTTTCTCCTACATTTCCTTCTCCTTCAACTTCCCTCACCCATCCCTTCTTTCCCTTTCACTGCACCCACCCAACCCCCCCATCCCACTCTTCCCCGTGCTCCGCAATCCCCCACAGCAAAGCTTCAACACGGGGGACTACGTGAACGCGATTGTGAGCAAGCAGAAGGCGGAGGCGATCAGCAGCGTGCTGTACCCCGACGACGGCACGTACTAGGGCAAGGAGCTGCGCCTCAAGCAGCAGCACTTCTTCGTCTCCGCCACCATGCAAGACGTCGTGCGGCGCTACAAGGAGGAGCACTCAGCAGCACTCCTCGCTCCACAAGTTCCCTAACACTGCCTTTCTTGCCCTTTCTTCCCCTTTCACCCACCCCACCCCACCCCTCCCCCTCTGCAAACCCACACCCCCCCTCCCCCCCCCCCCCCACCAGCAAAGCTTCAACACGGGGGACTACGTGAACGCGATTCTGAGCAAGCAGAAGGCCGAAGCCATCAGCAGCGTTCTCTACCCCGACGACCGCACGTACCAGGGCAAGGAGCTGCGCCTCAAGCAGCAGCACTTCTTCGTCTCCGCCACCATGCAAGACGTGGTGCGCCGCTACAAGGAGGAGCACGCCACGTTTGACGAGTTCAAGGACAAGGTGGCACTGCAGCTGAACGACACGCACCCGGTGCTGGCACTGGTGGAGTTGATGCGCCTGCTGGTGGACGAGGAGGGGCTGGAGTGGGGGTATGCGTGGAACATCACCACACACACCTTCTCCTACACCAACCACACCGTGCTGCCCGAGGCGCTCGAGAAGTGGCCTGTGGAGATCCTGGAGACGCTGCTGCCACGCCACCTGGAGGTGAGTATATGAGGTTCTCAGAAATCGCTCGTGCAGGCATCTGAGACATTGCTGCCACGAACGAGACCTGGAGGTCAGTTTGTGGGTTTTTAGAAGTTGTTCATGAAGACTCTTAGACGCGGCCGCCCCAGCTCCTTGAGGTCAGTCGTTTGAGGCGCCTCAAGTTGGATTCTCCACTGACTGACACTTTTCCCTGCTAAATGAGAGACCTCCCAACCCCTGTTATTCCACGCTCCCTTCCCATCACCCTCTCCTCCCGCATCAGATCATGCACGGCATCAATTACAACATCAAGCAATGCAAGGATTTTATCCCCCTCCCCCACCCCTTTCTTCTCCCCATGCCCTCATCAGATTATGTACGACATCAACCACAACTTCATTGTGGATCTGAAGAAGCGCATTGGCAACGATTATGACCGCCTCTCCCGCATGTCCATCATTGAGGAGGGCGCGCACAAGGTGAGGGGGGAGGGGCGCGCAAGGTGGGGGAGGAAGGGGGGGGGGGGCACAAGGTGGGGGGAAGGCTCACAAGGTGGGGGGAAGGGAAGGGAAGGAAAGGGAAGGAAAGGGAAGGGAAGGGAAGGGAAGGGAGGGCTTTAGAGTCGACTCAAAAGGCATTGGCAACGACTACGACCACCTCTCCCGCATTTCGATCATTGAGGGGGGCGCACACAAGGTGGGGGGAGGGGGCGCACAAGGTGGGGACAAGGGGGGATGCGCAAGGTACGGGGAGGGCTCAAGGTGGAGGGGAGTGCCCAAGGTGGGGGGGAAGGAGCAGCACACATGGTGGGGAAGGGGGAAACAGCACACATGATGGGGAAGGGGGAAACAGCACACATGATGGGGAAGGGGGAAACAGCACACATGGTGGGGAAGGGGGAAACAGCACACATGGTGGGGAAGGGGGAAACAGCACACATGGTGGGGAAGGGGGAAACAGCACACATGGTGGGGAAGGGGGAAACAGCACACATGGTGGGGAAGGGGGGAAGCAGCAGCACACATGGTGGGGTCGGTTAGATGGATGCAGATGGCATTGAACAACGACCACTTCTTGCAACATGGTCCAAATCTCTTTGTGACCGCATGACAAAGAGAATTCGGTTTGCCTACGGTGCGGAATGAAATTCTCTTTCAGTATGCTTACCGAATGCTCTTCTTCATGCTATCACAATGAGACTTCGACCGTGTTGCAAGAATCGTTGTTCATTGCCATCTACATCCATTCTACCGACCCAACCCACACTGCAGTAGGGAACACAGAGGAAGTTGAGGATGAGGAAATTGTGTGTGCGTGCGTGTATGTGCATCTGAAACTCAATGCATTTACAAT